TTGCATTCTGGCCAGATTAAGAAAATGTGACAATGAGGAGCTTTTGGAACAAAAGGAACCTCTCTCTTCTGCACTGCATTAATGCTTTCCCCACAACCTTTCACAATTGCCCATTCGGTTCCTGGGACAGCAGAACAGTGAGGGTGATTTTGAAACGCATGAGCAAAATGTGTCACTACCCACAGCAGAGGGGAGCTGTGGAGCTGCAAGTAAGGATTCTGGGAGATGCCTTCCAAGTTCTTACTCCTTAACTATGACTATTGTTATACATGGAGGATAGCTATGAGGGCCTGCCCCAGCACCTCTCTGGAGGCTTGAGTGAGAACAGCCCCCATGGGCTCATATATTTGAATGCTTGACCACCAGTTGGTGGAACTATCTGGGGGAGGATTAGGAGGTGTGGCCTTGTCAGAGGAGTTGTCATTATTGGTTCACCTGGAGGTTTCAGAAGACTTGTGCTATTTCCAGTGAGCTCTCTGCTTCTTGTGAGTCAGGTGTAGCTCTCAGCTGCTGCTCCAGCACCATGCCTGCCTGCCTGAACTATGATGGTGATGGAACTGTATGCATCCCATTGGAACCATAAGCCCCACTCCAAACAAACCCTTCCTTCTAGAAGTTGCCTGGGCATGGCAATAGAAAGTAATAGAACCATCGTCTAATTACAGTATGAGTGAAATGAACAAAGCCTGAAGGACACTTTGGAGGCACTGAAGGGGTGTTACCAGTTGATTATGCCAAAAACAGGTGAAGTAATTCTATAATGTTGGCTTTGATAGCATACAAAGAAGACCAGTTGATTTAATCAGGTACATTTATGAAGTATGAGTTTTGAAAATGTATTTGATGCTGCTTGACAGATGGAAGCCCTCACTGACTTTTATTCCACAACAAATAATGACTCCAGGTCTTTGTCATTCATGACATCTCAGTGACATGCCTAATTTAGCAGTCTACTTTTACCTTTTGGTATCAGGGTTGAGGAGGTATGTGCTACTTATGTGAAAAATTCACACATTCAAAAACCTACCCAGCATCGTCAACATAACACAGAGATGATTAAAGCTTCAGAAGCATTATTGGTCAAAGAAAAAAGAGTGAATATACATCACACATATATGTGTAAACACTTCAAATGAATCATGTGAAAATTTTTGGTTCAGTGGTTTCATTGAGAATTGGACCCATCAAAGCATGTAATACTTGTCAGACTTAGACACATCTTCTTTTTCTTTCTTTTTTTATAATTTATTTATTTATATTTTATTTGCATTGGTGCTTTTGCCTGCATGTATGTCTATGTAAAGGTTCAGATCTTAGAGTTACAGACAGTTGTGAGCTGCCATGTGGGGGCTGGGAATTGAACCCGAGTCCTCTGGAAGAGCAGTCAATGCCCTTAACCACTGAGTCATCTCTCCAGCCCCCAGGACACATTTTCATATGTCACATGTTTCATTCATTGCTTCTTCCTCATTAACTAAGTATGCTTAAGCCAGTTATAAAAAGGGAATGCATAGGCCACATGGTACAAGGATAGTTTTCCAGGACACATGCCACAAGAAAAACAGAAACACTGAAAATGAGTGAGAAGATATTTTCCTGAACTGCTTTACAACAGGAGTACTAATGAGTTTATACAGACCATTTATTTACCAGAGTAGATAGTTTCACATGATTCTAAAAATTATTTACCAATGGGGTGTGTGCAGGCTTGTGTGCATGCTGTTCTATGTTTGTTTGTACAATACTAGTGTGTGTATGTGTGTGTGTGAATGTGTTTGTGTGTCTGTGTGTGTGTCTGTGTTTGTGTGTCTGTGTGTATGTGTGTGTGTGAGTGTGTGTGTGTGTGTGTGTGTGTGTGTGTGTGTGTGTGTGTGCATGTGCATGTGTACATATGTGAAGGCCAAAATATAACCCTACAGGAGGGATTCTCTCCTTTATTAGGTGAGACAGGGTCCTTTACTATTTCTACTGATTTGTGTGTTCTACTCTGGCTGGCTTATAGGTTTTACAGCTGTTCTACTCTCAGCCTCCAATATGGATAAAGGTGTGCTGGGATTGTGTACGTGAGATGCTTGCCATTAGTTATGGATGGGAACCAAGGTACTTAGGCTAGCAAGGGAAGTACTCAGCATGTGATGACGTGAGTGTGTAGTTTTCTTTTCATGTGTGTATTAGTGTAAAAATATTTTTTGTCAAAATATAAGGGAGAGGGCTAAGCTGATAAAGGCCTAATATAATATCACATACACATTTAGACAGTGATTGTCAACCGGAGGGTAGTGATCCATTAGGCAATCATAGGACTCTCATTCAGAAAGGTCACCTAAGAACTTTTGAATACACACATACTGTCATTATAATTCACAACACTAGGATAATAACAGTTATGAAGTAGCAAGGAAAATAATTTCCTGTGCAGGTTCACCACAACATGAGGAAGTGCATCACATGGTCCCAGCCTGAGGAAGGATGAGAACTAGTGCCTTAGAGGATGATTAGCTTGTGGGCTCCCAGAAGGGAGGATATGAAGGAGGTGAAGGAATGGGCCAGGCTGGGTCCCTCTTCTCTGACACTATTTGCAATCCTGCAAACATAGGAACACAGAGACATTGTTCCTCTCACAAACAAATATGTTACATGAGAAATTAGTGGGAATTACCAGTAAATATATTTCTTTTTCTTTGCAGCTATCAGTTATTACCTCAAGAGTAGGCAGGTTCATTGTACTTTTGATGACTTTAAAGTGGAGATCTCACTATCTGAGAAAAGTTGTTTCTTGCTTTTCTGCAAGAGGATGAACTTTCTCGGTTTTGAAAATTAACTCTTTTGTTTGGTTGTGTATGTGAAGTGTGTGTGAGCACCATTCGTACATTTGTTTTGTTTTGTGTGTGTGAGCATGATATGTACATTTGTTTTTGTTTTTTTTTTTTCAAACGAAGCCGACTTCTGAAACAAAATATGCTGTGCTGTGTTCCTTTAAACTATGAATACCAAGATTAAAAACAGACTAGGAGAAAAGTGTTTTACTCTGTTTTGCTCAGTTTCATTGAGGTCTCCTGAGTTCTGGCATGTGATAAGTGGATCTGAGTTTCATTGCTGGAAGTACAATGGGGATGATGTTCAATGATTTTTCCCTGAGTTTTTCTTCAACACGTGGGTTGTAGTCAAGCAGTTTGCTGGCAGTTGTGTTTTCTGGGATGGACCCCAGGTCATTATGCCTGCATGCAGAGGGATCTGCTGGCACTGGACTCTTTGTGTGTGGTTTCATTTTCATTTGTTTGTTCTCTTTCTTTTTTCTTTTTTGGTGTGTGGGCATGTATGTGTTTATATTAATGCTAATATATTTACAGTCAAAGCATTCATCTAAGGGCTACTGAGAGGGCTAATCTGATAAAGGCACTTGCCAGCATGACTGACAAGTCCAATTTGAACCCTGAGACTGAAATGGTGAGAGGTGAGAAACATCTCCTATAAATTATCCTTGGACCTCCACACTTCTGCTATGGCACACATGTTTCTTGCCTTCCCCCATGCACCAAATAAATTGAGACCAGATTGTCCTTGAACTCACAAAGACCAGCTGGCCTCTGCGTCATGAGTGCAGGGATTAGAGGAGTGTACAAACATGCCCGGCCTCCTATTCATGTTCTTCCTGCCTATAAGTTCCTGCATTTAATATGTCAAACTGGCAGGCCAATGAGGCCTAGGATCCAGGAAGTTAGCAAACACCCTGAGGCTGGCTAATTATTTCTACTAATGATATCTTGGCCTATGCTTATGGTCATGTGCATAACAAACATATTCTTTCTATGGTTTGAAAAGATGACTCAGCAGTGTATATCACTTTTTGCTCTGGCAGAGAACCTGGGTTTGATTCACAGAACCCAATGTATAGAAAAGGGGCTGGCTAGAGAAACCCACCCTGACCCTGGAGCCTAGTATTAGGGAAGGATGGCTCAGATAAAGCCAGTGAGTGAAACACAGTTTATCTCATATCAGAGCCATCTCTGCCCCTGTCCAACTGACTTTTGAAATCAACCAATCACAGAGCAGGACAGCAGAATCCTGGCCCTAGGGCCTAGACCATGGAAAGAAACACAGCTTGTGTTTGGAACCTGAGCCAGAGAAATGAACCAAGGAAACATGCCCTGACTCTGAAAATAGTATCAAAGAAACCCTCTTGGTGCCTAGAATCAGAGTCAGTGAATGAAATGTGCCCTGGCCTTAGAGATAGTGTCAAAAAGCTAAGTAAGGCCAGTGAGAGAAACACAGTTTAGCTCAAATCAGAGCCATCTCTGCCCCTGTCCAACTGACTTGTAAAATCAACCAATCACAGAGCAGGACATTAGAATTCTGGCCCTAGGGCCCAGGACCAGGGAAAGAAACACAGCCTGTGTTTGGGACCTGAGCCAGAGAAGTGAACACTTTATCCCCAAACCCAGAACCCAGGAAATATGTCCTGACTCTGAGACCAGTACCAAAATAACACTCTTGGACCCTAGAATCATAGTCAGTGAAAGAAATGTGCCCTGGTCTTAGAGGTAGTGTCAAAAAGCCAAGAAAGGACAGTGAAAGAAACACAGTTTGGCCTTGAAATCAGGGCCATCTCTGCTCCTTGCTCATACTGGCCAATCCCTGGGCAGAAAATAAACTAACCAATCACAGTTGACTCCGCCCCCTGACATTCTACATCAACTGCCTTTCCCAGTCAGTTGTGAGCTGTCCTCTCCACTCTGGTAGAGGCAGCTACTCTCCTGAACTCCTCCTTCCCAAATAAACCTCTTTCTCAAAAGAGATTTGGGTGAAGACCTTCAATGACTGGTGAACAGAAGAGCCTTGCTGGGGATGTCTTATAGTGGAACAGGCAAGTGGGAGCTGAAGAGAAGAACCTTGCAGGGACTTCCAGTAGTGGACTGACAAAGAAAGAGCTGGTAACACTGATCCTGAGATTGTGGCCATCCAGGATAGGAGCAGGATTGCTGTGTCCTGTGGGAAGATTATACCCCATCACACCAGGTATATCCTGACATTCCTGAAGAGACAGGATACCCTTCCTTGCTGAAGTAGTTCCAGGCCTGACTCTCCAGAGAGGTCGGAAAAAATTCCTTTCCAAGGTTGTGTTGTTTCTTTGCAGTCCCAGCCGTCAGAGCTGTACTATACAGCTTCAGGTGTCTAGGACACCTACAGGGCAGAGCTCTTGTTCAGAGTAGCTCCAGTTATCCTTGATACCTCACCCTCTAGGTCTAAACTGTTTCCTTGCAGTTAAATCCATCGATTTACTAACATTCTGGTGTTAAAACCTGGAACACCAAACCCACAGTTTTTGCAGTTTACTTACACCCACATCTTGGCTCACAACGATCTGGAACTGCAATTCCAGGGGATCCAAAGCCCTCTTGGGAGTCTGTGGCCAGCCTCCACACAAGGTACACAGAAAGAATTCATGCAAAATATTTAAACATCTAAAATAATTAATTGAAGACATGTTGGGTACATTCCTGTTGACATTAGCTACTTCACGATTCTCTAATATTTATTCTCTTGATTTGTTTGTGTTGTTGTCTCTCTGATGCAAGTAGCTCACTTTCTGATTTTTGTCTCCATAGTCTAATTTACTATCACATACACATGAAAACAGTGTTTTTCAACCTGTGGGTAGTGACCCATTTGGTAATCCTAGGACTCTCTTTCACAGAGGTCACCTAAAAAGTTCTGAAAATATAGTTATTGACAGTATAATTTATAACACTCACAAAATGACAGTTATGAAGTAGCAAGGAAAATAATTTTCTGTGCAGGGTCACCACAAGATGAGGAAGTGCACCACATGGTCACAGCCTGAGGAAGGTTGAGAACTAGTGCCTTAGAAGGTGATTATCTTGTGTGTTCCCAGACATGAGGGTATGAAGGAGGTGAAGGAATGGGCCAGGCTGGGTTCACTTCTCTGAAACTATGTAAAATACTGCAGACACAGGAACACAGAGACATCGTTCCTCTCACAAGCAAATATGTTACATGTCAAATTAGTGGGAATTAAAGGTAAATATATTTCTTTTTCTTTGCAGCTATCAGTTATTACGTCAAGAGAATACAGGTCCTTTGCATTTTTGATCTTCTTAAGTAGAGATCTCATTACCAGGAGAAAATCTGTTTTTCACTTTGCTGCAATGGAAAGGTAGAAGATGAACTTCCAGGTTTGGAAATGAATTCTTTTCTTTGGTGTGTATGTGAAGTGTGTGTGAGCCCCCAAACCTCTACTTGTTTGATTTTCAAATGAAGCTGACTTCTGAAACAAAATAGGCTGTGCTGTGTTCCTTTAAACTATGTATACCAAGATTAACAACAGACTTGGACAAAAGTGTTTTACTCTGAACAGTTTCATTGAGACTGCTTGAGCTTTGATTTGTGATAGGGGGATCTGAGTGTCATTGGTGGAAGTACAATGGGACGATGTTCAATGATCTTTCCCTGGGTTTTGCTTCAACATGTGTGTTGTAGTCAAGATGCTTGCTAGTAATTGTGTTTTCTGCGATGGATCCAAGGTCATTATGCCTGCAAGCAGAGTGATCTGCTGGCACTGAAGTGCTTGGGTATGCTTTCATTTTCATTTGTATTTTGGTGTGTGTGTGTGTGTGTGTGTGTGTGTGTGTGTGTGTGTGTGTGTGTATTAATGGTGAAACATTTATAGTCAAAACATATATCGCAGGACCTACATACTGAGAGGGCTAATCTATAAAGGCACTTGCCAGCATGACTGACAACTCCAATTTGATCCCTGAGACTGAAATGGTGAGAGGAGAGAACCAACTCCTATAAAATATCCTTGAACCTCCACTCTTCTGCTTGGCACATATATTTATTGCCTTCCCAGAGACCAGGTTGTCCTTGAACTCACAGAGACCAGCCTGCCTCTTCTTCATGAGTACAGGGAGTAGAGGAGTGTACCAACATGCCCAGCCTCCTATTCATGTTCTTCCTGCCTATAAGCTCTCTGCATTTCAATGTGTCAAACTGGCAGACTGATGAGGCCTAGGGTCCAGGAAGTTAGCAAATACCCTGGTGCTTGCTAATTATCTCTACTAATGATATCTTGGCCTATGCTTATGGTCATGTGCATAACAAACATATTCTTTCTATGGTTTGAAAAGATGACTCAGCAGTGTATACCACTTTTTGCTCTGTCAGAAGACCTGGGATTGACTCACAGCACCCACATCTTAGCTGACATCAATCTGGAACTCTAATCTAGGTTATCAAATGCCCTCTTGAATGTCTGTGGGCAGGCCACACACAAGGTACACAGAAAGAATTCATGCAAAACATTTAAACACCTAAAATAAATCAATTGACAACACACAAGCATGTTGGGCACATTCCTGTTAACATTAGCTACTACAGGATTATCTAATATTTATTATCTTCATTTGTATGTATTCATGTTTTCTGAGGCAAGTAGCTCACTCTCTGATTTTTGTCTCCATAGTCTAATTTACTATCACATACCCATGAAAACAGTGGTTCTCAACTCTGTGGGTAGTGACCCATTTGGAAACCCTAGGACTCTTTTACAGAAGTCACTTAACACCTTCTGAAAATATAGATATTGACATTATAATTCATAACACTCGCAAAATGACAGTTATGAAGTAGC